GGATTAATAATTCAGTTGGATTTTGAGCCTTTACATTTTTCACATATCCTTCGTTTCGGTATAGTTTTTATAACTAGAAATATTTTAATCTCGCGTCGAACGATTCGCATTCAATTGTCTTTTTTTTCGAATCTTCTGATGTTATTACATCACGACATTCACCGCAAAAGAGGATTGGAAATTCAGTTTTAAACAAAATTTTTGAAGCGTCGTAAACCAGATAAATCGCATATTTATCTGAAACTTTGAACTTCGCGCTAATTAAGCCGTCTGAGCGCTGACTCTGTTCACTCAAGGATTATGGAAAGACCGCTTGTAAAATAATTTTATCACGCCTTTATGAATTCAGCCACTAAAAATAAGAGGAATATTCAGTAAGCTCTATTGAAATTGAAATTCTATTTTAATGTTCGCACTGAAAAAGATTTTTTGAACTATCTATACATATAATAAAATTCTAACTAAGTCGAATCTGTACATTAAACTTTTTTTGGAAAATCTTATTGAAATTGACATTATTATCGATGCAGAGGGCGAATCTATAGTTTTTACAATTTTAGTCAGTCTGTCTGTTAGCGCATCAAGGAAAACCCACTAGAGGGATTTTGATGAAAATTGGTGATAGCTGGTTATCCGGATCAACATATAGGATACTTTTTACCGCGGGAAAATATCTCATTTCTGAGAAAAAATACAAAAACTGCAATGTAAGAGTATACTAATATGTGAAATCTAAGAATTTTGTTTTTGGTCATCTGAACGCGGCCGGTGCCGCGGACAATGCTAGTTTAGATATATATGGAATCATCCACAAACTACGTATGAAGCATCAAAATCGGTTTGGTCTTTTAGTAATACAAGGGAACATAGGATCGGACATACATTCTACAACGTACATACAGTTCAAACACATAACCTTCTTTACCGGAAAAATATTAGGAAAGCTCTAAGTCGTTGAACGCTTTTGAATTTGTATACTCGTATACATATATAATGCATTAGCTCCCTACTAATTCAACTTTTACTTGACCTTAACTTGATCTATCGTTTTTATTTAGTAAACTAGCCTTCCCTTTATACGTTGCGGGAAGCATCTTTGTATATGCTCGACTGTCAGAAAATAAATTGAACAAAAAGCAATCGAAAGAGTTCCATTCAAATCCGTTCGCGTGATCCGAACTCAAATAGAGGAATGGACAAAAAATTTAACACTATTTTGGCCCTTCTATCTAAAGTTTTACAAACAAAAGCTTCTCATACCAGTTTGGTGAAAATATTTAAAAAATAATATGTAGGTATCTTAGTTGTATTTGTTATTTTCTTACTAAACAAAATATTTATGTGTAGTAAAAAAGTAATGAATTAGTTGTAATCTAGTACTTTTGTTTTACCTATAAATACCGTAAACTGTAAAATTAGAATTAATAAATGACCTTTGACCATAACTTTAAGGCCATAAACAATTTATGCATAATTATAACTTTTACCTGCTTTCAATCTAATTCCTTTAACTGATTTAACTTTAGAGATGGATGCCATGAATGATGATGCTCAAAATATTAATAAAAGTATGGAACACTGGTTTAGGTACTTGTTCTCCTTTACCTCGTCGGTAAATACGTTATACGAAAACGTGTAACAATAAATTAAACACATTTCCAATTCTAAACATCGCAAGTGATTATCTATCAATAATAGTAGCATGTCTATTGTAGGTATATATAACAAATAAGTGGTAGATATATTATACTATATATGGTTAATAAATTAAACTATAAATTAATGCCATGATTACTGCTCTACCAAAACTTACTATAATTTGATTAGGATCTTATTTATGTAGGACGTCCTGTTCGTGGTTCACTGGTTGTATGACATATTATACTGTGTTTACTCCAACTTAGGTTAAATGGGACAAGTATACCTATAAGATGCTAAATTGTTACTACAACTTAATGTTTATTTGTATTATGTATTAATATCCTAACTTTTAATAGGTACGCAACCAATAAAAATATATTAAGTTGAGAAAAGAGAGCAAGCCGAAATAAGCAATTTTTGGTAATTACTTTATACAAGGTATTAAAAAAAAGTTTACAGCATGGAATTGAACCCGAAACCACCTGCTAAGTATATTGAACCAGTCAGAGACATATTACTTACTAAAATTGAAAGACAATAGTCTATTGATGGTATCTTATTTTAAATTAAGCTCTATTAAATCATAAATGGCTTCAGAATGAAGCTTTTCAAGATGGTAAATTGTAACTGTTAGAATGTTCAAACACTTGAATTTTATGTAAATCATATTAATTCGCATTCAACTTATAGTTGCTAAATATGAATAAAACTGATTTTCAGAATTTCTCTAGCATCTCCGTCTATTGTGTAGCCTGATGTAGTTGCTATTGTTTCGTTCGTCTTGTAAGATGTCAGATTTTCAAGTCTAAATGTAGGTATATCAATGAAATGAGTGCAAGCAATGATATGAATTAACCAATTGTTAGATAAAATCTATATAAATTATAATGAATGTTGGTAAGCGCATAGCTCAAGAATGCCTGGACCAATTCGGCTAATTTTTTTTCGTATGTTCCTTAAGGTCCACGGAAGGTTTTAATAAAGAGAAAAAAAGAAAAATTAACGAAAAAAAAATATATAATTTTTTTTTTCGTTAATTTTTCTTGGCTTGGCTAACGCTGGCTAATAATTATTTAAACTATATCTATTTAAAACGTACCCAGCGACGAACCCGAAAGAAGCGAGGGTGAGCCACTAGTCATACAAAATAAATTCATAAGAAATTTTCATAAAAATCGATTAACCTAACATTCTCTATCCTGCAGAGACCTTTTTCTTTTGAAAAACCCTTTGTTTCTCTCGCCTGAATCCTCTGTACGCCAATAAAAGTTCTAGAGGCAAAAGGAAGGTAGCAACTCATGGCGACACCGTGAATACTCGCCGTGTTATGAGACCTACGATCTTATTTTTAAAATTAATGTTATAATAAATAATTATTGACTGCCATAAAATACAAGGTGACAGCGTCGGCCTTTTTATTTATACGGTTCTGTAGCATAATGGCTAAAAAGGAACCATTATAATTTCGCCATATCTGTCCGTCTGTCTGACCGCTTGTCTTTGTGTCACAGCTATTATATTTATAACAAGACTACTATTATATTAAATGTTACTAAAGTCGTACACATTGTATCTCGCTCCTCCTACTTTTGAAGTATCTATTTGTGGGAAAGTTCTGAAAAAAATTGAGATAGAGCTTTCAAAAAAAACTGTTTTAACGAAAATTATTTTGAATAAGATATGTACGTAGAATAGTTTTACGTTTTACCTGTTCGACGACTTCCAGCAAAATATTTACTATGAGAAACAACAACTTAGTTTCTCATAGTAAATACTTTGTTATATCTCTTCACCAGATGGTGTTACAAGGCATCGACTTTAAAACCCAATCGCAATGAAATTGACAATATTATCGTATAAAGATTTTTTCCAAAAATTAAGAACATATTTATATTAGGAATTCCAAATCTATACATATAATAAAATTGTAACTGAACCGAATCTGTACATTAAATATTTTTTGGAAATTCTTCTTTAAATAGACATTATTATCGATACACAGGCCGAATGTATAGTTTTTAGAATTTTTGTCTGTCTGTATGTCTGTCTGTTACCGTATCACAGAAAAGCCACTGGAGGGATTTTCATGAAATTTGGTATGGTAATAGCTGGTTATCCGGGTCAACATATAGGATACCTTTTAGCGCGGCAAAATATCACATTTCTGAGAAAAAATACAAAAACTGCAATGGAAGAGTATACTGATATGTAGAACCTAAGAATTTAATTTTTGATCATCTGAATGCGGGTGGAGCCGCGGGCATTGCTAGTATTAATATAAGAATAATATAAAATTAGGATTATATTTCAACGTCACATATAATTATATATAAACTTTTTTTATAGTATTATTTATTAGTAGAAGACGAAAATAAACTTTATGGTTTCACTAACGCCGCAGCTATTCTAGATTCTACATTTAATTTGTTTGTGTTTTAATGCATTAGCAAAAATAATTGACGCTTTGAAGCCATTAACAAGACAACTAAATCGAATTAAATTTTAACAGTAATTTAGCGCAAATTAAATCCCATAGATACGTGGGCAAATCTTTTATTTATATTTTTTAGAATATACCCTACATTGGATCAACTTTATTTATATTGGATATTTTATACCCATTTTTCTAAGGAAGCTGACCTTAGTCTACCTCCGTCATTTTAATTTATTAGTGTTAATATCGACGCGCGTAATAATGTTAACTAATGCATGGGAAGAGGACACATACTTGTAAATAAAGAATATCTTACTATCATAAAGTTAAAAGTCAGAAGTAAAAATTCATAAACATATACATTCTTTTACTCAAACACGCACGCATAAACATTAAAAACCTGATATGCGATAGTTTGTATTTAAATAATAGTCCCTTGATTGATTTAATTAATGACACAATTATTACGCGTAATTGCAGGAATAAACCATTAACAGCTATACAACACGAATTTGGAAGCATTAATTAAACGACATTAAAGAAAGCTTTTACGAAAATGAATAAGCAATTGAAGTACAGGGCATTAAGTATATATTTTAATCGAAACTAAGAGTATATATAAACGTATCATAACATTTTTATTTTTATTTCTAATATCTTGCTGCCAAGTGTTTACTTTACTATGTTCGAAAGATATTTTTCTCTATAGTCTGTGCAAATGTCAATGTCGCAGACATGGATGTCAAATGCAAGTCGCAGAATGCAGATGACATCTTAGAAAGTTTAACAATTGTCAAACTTTACTGAAACGCGACATTATCGTGTTATAATAACATTTTTGTTTTAATGTATTTACTGACAAAATATAAACTTATTAGTAATACAAATTGTCTCTCATATGTATCGCTAGTTTAAATATTTCAAAATGTGTGACAGCGACGACCCCAACGACCAAAGTCGATCCGGTATGGATTTGACTGGTTTTTTGTTTGGAAACATCGATGAGACTGGTCAATTGGAAGATGATGAATTACTTGATGGTGATTCTAAGCGTATGTTATCTTCTCTTAATCGCTTGGGACTTGGATCAATGTTATCTGAAGTTCTAGATCAAGAAGAACCAATTAAAGAAGATGTTGAAAACGGTAAGCCTTTTTCTTCTAATGTGAACTGATATTCTTTATATTCTGAGATCCTAATTATCTTTAAATTTACAGATTACAGTGAAAAAAGTCCATCAGCTGTAGACTTCTTTGATATTGATGATGTTGCGGATGAAGAAAAGGTAAACGGAATGTGATAGATTTATTATACATTTTTATGATTGTACTACATTGTTTTTTTTTCTACATGCATCCTTATATAAAAACAGAAACTTATATTAAATGTCACTTATTGATAACAGCACATACTTATTTTTTTTTAATGAAAATACCCAGTTTATAATGCTCATTTCTGAGTTTAAAAATGTTTTCTATAAAAAGGATATTTTTTGTATAAAAGATTTATAATTTTATTTAAGATTGTTTTTTCGTTTTCTAATACTGTAAGAATGTTTTATATCCATATTACTATTCAATTATGTATAGATTTTATTTCTTGAATTACTACAATAGTACATCTTAATAAGGTATGTATAGTTATATTTACAAGAAGTAATACAATTAATTTTACCCTTATTACTGTTAGGGTATTGAAACAAATGTAAATTCTGACATTAATGCAGTACCAGAGCAACATGAAAATCAAACTTCATTTAACAATGAAACTATTGAGGAAGCTTTAGATACTAAAAGTGGTTGTCCACAGAATGATGGAAAAGAAACAGGTGAGGAAAATTGGAAAGATAATGGTGATGAAGAACGCAGGAATAATGATGAGGGATATGAAGGAGACATGGAAGGTGATGGAGAACTTATGCCACCTCCATCAACTGTTCCGTAAGTAGAAGAACATTAAATATTTTTTAACATGTTTCCAAGTGTGTAAAGAATAAAAAAGAACAATATCTTGTGGGTCAATAATGAAATGTATAAAACATTTCATTATTTCATTTATTCAGATCGTATGATAGACATTGTGGTGCTCCTTTTATAAAGTCCCCTTAATTTCTCTTCTCTTAACACTAAACCCACATTTATTGGGATATTGAAAATTTGGTCCATATCCAAAAAAAAAATATTATTATTACTTATTAATAGTACCTAACAGGTATATATAGATACTCATGAATAATTACACCTAAATTAATTGTATTTGTAAACCATCATCTTCTTTGCCCTTGCCTCTTCCCGTTACACGGGGTAGGTTTCCTAAACATTTGGCGCCATTCACTTCGCTGGTAAACATAATCCTATATGGTATGGCTAAGCTTTTGCATGTCCTTCCGGACATTTGTCATCCAGGTAATATACGGTCTACCTCTCCCTCTCCTTTTTGTAGCCATGGAAAGGCACTTTTTCATGATGTGGTCATTACCACCTTAGCCTGGACTCTGTAATCTTCTTGGTAATAGGCTTTGTAAACTGTCATGAATTTAAAATTATCATATGATTTCAATATTTGCTATTTTTAAGACTCAAAGAAATGATAATATAATTTTTAAATTATTGATATAAAGGAAAAAAATTATAATAGTGATATTTTTTCATTTAAGTAAACAAAAGTCAGACAAGCCTAAGAAGTTGGAAACTCCATTAGCTGCTATGCTTCCATCTAAATATGCAAATGTGGATGTAACTGAATTATTTCCTGACTTTAGACCTGATAAGGTGAGATTTGTTTTAAAAAAATGCAAAATAATAATTTAAAAATAAAATCGACATTTTCATTATATATTTTTGCCAGGTTTTGCTATTTTCTCGTTTATTTGGACCGGGTAAATTATCGAGTCTCCCTCAAATATGGCGCGGTGTAAAGAAACGAAGACGTCGCAAACGTAGCGGCAGTACAAGTAGCGATACTCCACCACAGCCTTCTGAGCAACATGAAGTCCAATATGCAAGTGATGATGAAGAGAAATTTCTAAAGTAAACCTTTTGTTATTTTTAATGTTTATTCTAATTATGCAGAAAACGTTTCTTATTGTTTTTTAATTATTGTCAATAATTGAGACAGTATAAATATCAAGAGAATAACTGAATTTTTATTTTATTAATTGTGTTAAAGAGTTATGGGTAAATATTTTTTCTATTCAGGTAAGTAATTCCAGGAAAACAATCTCTTCAAAATAAATCTTACAATAATACTTTTTTAATTTACGTGAATATTTGATATTTTAAATAAAACTGTTTTTTCGGATTTTTCCGTGGATTTATTTTGATATTTGTCAAACATTTTTTTGGTTCCCAACGTTTCGTATGCTTAACAGCAATCATGGTCACGGGAGAGACTAAGGTTTTAATTAAAATGTCAGATATAAAAATACTTAAATGATGTGGGCTTATTACCTGTGATGTAGATGTTTGATATCAATGATGTTAGATATACTAAGTATAATTTAAATGTTCACCAGACCAATGGAAGAAAGTCCTCAAACATCCCAACAAGAAGCAAACACTCAATCTGCTGGAGATAAATCACAGAGACCAACCCCGGCCCACTGGCGGTTCGGACCAGCTCAGGCTTGGTACGACATGTTGAATGTGCCAGAAACTGGAGATGGATTTGACTATGGATTCAAACTGAAGGTGCTTATTTTATAATAGGACTTTGTTGTGTTTATATTATATATCATGAATTTTAATTTAATTTTTTACATATACATATTTGTAATAGTTTTTTTTGTTGGTAATTTTAATTTGAAAAATAAAATTTTATATCTTACTTGTTACTGTCTGCAATTTGTTTATGAGTGCATAGAATAAATCAATTTGTGTCTTTTGAAAGGGTTTCGCCGGTTAAGCATATGGGTTTGGGCCCAGAGGCTTTCGAGGTTAATATTTCACATTACTTTAGTGTTCAACTGATAGAGTTAGAATAGGTAGAATTCAGCACTTAATTGTGTTTATTAAAAGTAATATAGGGGTAACTACTCTAATCTAAAAAATCTATAGAACGAACAAAGATATTCGAATGAAACCAACGCGAGAATTTAAGTATTTACAAGTTCTTTATTTAATTTTTTTTTGACACAATAAAAGAGGTCAAATAATATTATTTTTAATTTGGGGGTATTTTTTTAATTTCTTCTAATGATAGTTTTATTTAAAATATACATTTTATATTCTAAAATTGAAGTTTACAAAGAGATATAAAGGTGAATTTTTTATTAAATATCGTTAATTTAGTTTCTTCTTCGATTCAAATAAAATATTACCAGACTTGTACAGTTAATGTACCAAAAGTTAAATTTAAATATAAGAAGTTTTTTGTTATTCACATATAGGCGCCATCGCCAGATCGCGAAGAAAAATCGAAAGAAAAGTCAGTTGTTGAAGGTCCTGTTTCTGAAAATGAAGCAAATGAGGACAGTCCAGATAGTGGATTTCCGGATGATGCTTTTCTTATGGTTTCACAATTGCAATGGGAAGACGATGTTATATGGGATGGAAGCGAGATAAAACACAAGGTAGGGATAACCGTTTATATTAAAATATTTAACTGTATAGAAACTTTATGAAAAGGTTGTTTCTAATTAATTACATTATTTACATTGAAGCATGGTGTGGGTGACATATTGTATTAAACTTTTCCTTTTCACTTGAATGAGTGTTGTTATGATTTACAAACTTAGCATAATATTTTTGTTCTAAAAAAATATTATGAGCATATAGTACTAAATCGTTGATAACTGTAGTAAGAAATTTATTTTGATTTTTAAGTACATTCAAAACAAAATCGATGCGATTGATTATAATGCATGTAATGTGAATGAGTAACAAACATACACTTATATATACACATTTTAGCATTTATAATAGTATAGGCCATCCAAAAATATAATATATCCCTTCCAGGTGCTAGCTCGTTTGAACAGCAAGAGCAACGCAGCGGGCTGGGTGCCCACCTCGGTCAGTCGCACCGCGCAGCAGTTCTCGCACCCGCGGCCCCAGGCCCCTGCACCACTACAGCAAAAACCTCCCACGTAAGTGTTTTATTTATTCATTCGTTTATTCAACAATTCCATTCATTCAATCTTTCATTCATTCATTCATGTATAGCCACAAAATAAAAAGAAAAGTATAAGATTAATTAAACTAACCAAAAGCACAAACAGATCTATCCCACGGGAACCGTTCATTTTCCGACATAAAAAGTAACCTGTTGTTTGACCGGCAACATAAGGTATCAGCATGCCAAATTTTACTAAATTAGGTGCATAAGTTGTTGTGTACTGAGCTGTATAAGTTACTATAGTTTTTAACTCTTTAATTTTCCGAGATGAAAAGTATCTAAAATGTTGACAGGGGATATAAGGTACCACCATGCAACATTTCATTTAAATCGATCCAACAGTTTCGGAGACTAGCACGTACAAACAGACAGAGAAACAAAAAAATAAAAAAAACATCACCCTGGCTCGGTTTTAGCATTTTTTTCTATGTACAGACATTCGATCTCTACAGTTTTATTCTCTAAAGTTTCTTTATCTTAATATGTTATTATGTTTGTATTTTTTGAAGTAACAAAATTAAACTAATTTCAATAATCAGATCAGCAGCCACAACGCCAAACAACGCGACATCAGCAGAAGGGGAAGATAACACTTGGTACAGCATCTTTCCAGTAGAAAACGAGGAGCTAGTATACGGGACATGGGAGGAAGAGGTCATATGGGATGCTGAGAACATGCCGCAGATACCAAAACCCAAGATATTGACTTTGGATCCCAATGATGAGAATATTATACTTGGTATACCAGATGATGTGGACCCATCTAAGATTACTAGAGGTAGGTTTATATTTTTGTATGGCATTTTTATTATTTATCATTCTTTTCTTTGGTCTTAATTGCATAGTAAAAAAGATTTAAAAAAAATAATTTATGTTTTAGCGCTTATCAAATTCGGCCCAGGGTTAACTTGAGTTTTTTTTGTTATTCCGTATTGTTTCTGATTTGACCATTAACATTGTGAGTGTGAATTTTAAGTTAAATTTATTTTTTATGTTGACAAATAAATATGATGGTATTTCCTATCTATATAGATAAATAAAAATGAAGTGTCTGCTTGTAATGTCAAAATAACAGCTTTTTACTGAATGCATATGAAATTATATTACGGTATTTATAAGAAAAACACAATTTTTAAATTTTTTGTCTGTTTGTTGGTTCCGGGTAATCTCTGAAATGGCTGGACAGATTTTGGCGGGACTTTTACTGGTAGATAGCTGATGCTATAAGGAATAACTTAGGCTACTTTTATTTTAGAAAAGGAATTAGGGTTCCGCTAAAAAAATTAAAACGTACCTAGAGACGCTCGAGCGAAGCGAGGGTAAGTCGCTAGTCTGCACTATACTTAAACATACATTTAAAATATCAATTTTTATATATTTGATATTAAAGTGACACATTTTCATACGAACTCCGATTAACTACCTAATACAATTTATTCTCATATCATACAATTGGTTCACAGAAAGAGGACCAGCACCAAAAGTGAAAATTCCACATCCACACGTGAAAAAATCCAAGATATTGTTGGGCAAAGCGGGCGTCATCAACGTGCTGCAGGAGGACGCTCCGCCGCCGCCGCCCAAGTCGCCGGACCGGGATCCATTCAATATATCGAATGATGTGTGAGTTTGTATTATCTTTTTACCCGATTTTGGTAACGGCGGTATATATTTTTTAAAATTGGCTTCTGCCAGGAGATATTTTATCTTTGCAAATGGCTTATGCCCCATTGTTTCCGCTTTAAAGTTCCGTGAGGCGAGAATTGAGACACTAGTGTTGAGAGATTGCATGTTAGAGTATTTGCAATGATTTTATACCTTTTTGTTTTTTTTTAAATGTAGTACGGGGATAATATTGTTTCCCCATGAAATAAGTGTTTGGCCACCATTTAATATAGAACAACACTTGGAACATAATATGGAATTATCTATACTATTATAGGAATAGAATGTTAAAGTTTCAGTCTTAGTCTCAGCGTCTTGTTCATGGCGTTGACAATATAAATTTTTTGCGCATATAAAAAGCATCAGTTGCAGATATAAAAATAGCTTTTTTTTTTAGAAAAGACATCTATATAGGTAAACTTATAGTTTGATCTAAATCGTTTAAGCCGTTACTGAGGTACACGAAATTAAATAGATACTATACAAGAATTGCTCATTTAATATTATAAGATTCGTTGAAACAGTTACTACCAGCCGAAATCCCAAAACCCACGTCTAAAAGTGGGCGGCGGTCAGCTCATACAACACAGCACGCCGGTGGTGGAGCTGCGCGCGCCCTTCATCCAGACGCACATGGGCCCGGCGCGGCTGCGCGCCTTCCACCGCCCGGCGCTGCGCAAGCTGGCGTACGGCGCGCTGGCGGCGCCCGGCGCGCACCCCGTGCAGCCGCTGCTGAAGCATATTAAGAAGAAGGCTAAGGTATGTTTGTTGATTTTATTGCTATTGCGGTCTGATTTTGACTGTTGTTAGCTATAGAAATTAGGATTAATGTAAGAATTTAATAGTGATTTATGGATAAACTAGTGATATATATAAAATAGTTTAAATATTATACGGAGGCGGGATATCTGCAACGCAGTTTATACTTATGCAGTATCATCGTAGCCATTGTTGTTTGCTGTATACTTATAGGAATTTGATACTAAATAAATAGATTTCATTTCATTTTCATTTCATTTAACCACAAAACGAAAAACCTGAATTCCTTATAAGAAGTAGTGTATATTGATTTAGAAAACGTGCTGTCTCTGTAATGAATCATTGTAATATACTAGGTCATCTAACTGTTAGTAAGGCATAAAAGATATATAATTAAAGTAAGAAAAAAATCTAGAAAAGTAGTTAAAGTTCTGTACTTAGCATGCCCACATCCAAAGCTTAACTGATAATACTAATTAAATTAACTTGATGGTTCAAAGTGCTTATAAAAGTCTATTTAAAATGCATTTCGAACTTAAATTTACAGTTAGCAGTCGTCACTCGACTGAGACACTTGTACATATAGTTAACGTCAGTTTCTTGCCGACGGAACTGGTTTGACCGGTAACTCGTGTGCGTCTTACCAATGCAGCGTATAATAAAATATTACTATGAGTGATGACAATATAGAACCGTGCAGTATTCCATTACTGCGTGATAATGTCGAAGATTTAGACAGTTATGATGACGTCATGAATAGTACAGAAAGAGAGGAAAGAGTATTTTTGAAAGAAAATGAAGGAAATAGAGAAAAAAAGAGACAGTTAGAAAATAGTGAGGAGAGCGAGACAGGGGATGCTGAAGAAGGATGGACCAAGGTTCGAGGAAAAGGGAAGAGAACATGTCTTCGAAGTGAGATTGACGTGAATGTGAGCAATCATAATTTTGAAATATATATCTCCTCTAAAGATAAGTTGCCCAAACAATTCGCCCTAGCAAGAACTTTTCAACAGCTCAATATCACTAGCATCAATCACGTTAAATACATAACACCCTATAAAGTGCGGTTGCATTTGGAGAACGAGGAGACTATGAAAAATATTTTGGAATGCGAAGAGTTAATTCGTAAAGGTTGGAGAATATATAAAGCTATGGAAGTGTCATATTGTTATGGTGTTATTAGAGATGTTGACCTTGATTTGAGTGAAGAAGAAATTTTGAATAATATATCTTGTCCTTTTTCTATTGAAATCCTATCACTTAAGCGACTTAATAGGTTTGACAGAGATAATGGAGGCTGGCGACCTAGCGAATCAATTCGCGTATGTTTTAAGGGGTCGTCCATCCCAGCTTTTGTCCTTGGGTTTGGCTTAAGGATTTCGGTTGAACCATTTGTTTTTCAAGTTTCTCAGTGCTCGTTGTGTTGGAAATTTGGTCATACTCGTAAAACGTGCTCAGCTAAGAAGGTTGTCTGTCCTAAGTGTGGAAATAACCATGAAAATTGTGAAACTCAAATATTTAAGTGTGTCAATTGCTCGGGAAATCATATAGCCCTTTCTAAAATTTGTCCAACCTTTTTAAAAGAAAAAAAAAATCGGGAAATTATGGCGGATTTTGGCTGTACGTTCAGAAAGGCTTTAAATGTTTACGCATCGACTTTTACACCACAAAAACCTATCGAACGAGAAGTGAGTATTCAACCAACCACATCTTATGAGAATAAGAATCCTTTGGGTTTTAACCAGGGCTCACCTACTTTTGCAGAAATAGTTAAAACATCGGTGGAAATTCATGACATACAAAAAAAGAGTGAACAGAATAAAAGTTCATCTAATTTCATTGAGCACCGAAGACCACGTATGAAACGGACACAAAGGGAACAAAAGGAAAACCAAAACACCACAAGTCAGTCGGATTACGAATTTATATATGCAGAGGTTGAGAGTCAAAAGGAAGAGAATGTAAGCGAGGATCTGAAATATGAGGGCAAATTAACTTTTAAGGAATTGTTATTGCGAGTAAAAGAAGTGTTATTTCTAAGTAAACTTAGCTTTTCTCATAAAGTATTTAATTCATCTAAATTAATTATTGAGTGGCTCGTTATATTTCTTTTTGAGCAGATAACAAAATGGCCTTTATTAAAGTTTTTAGTAGAATTAGTATGTAAGATAAAATGATACCTAGAAATATTAGCAATAGGAACATTATTCAATGGAATGCGCAAAGTATTAGACCTAAGTTGAGTTCATTTGTTGAGGTGTTAAATGAGGAAAAGATTCATGTTGCTGTTTTAAGTGAAACTTGGCTTAAACCTGACATTTATTTAAATATACGTGGGTATAATATTTACCGGCTAGATAGGCAAGATGGATTTGGTGGTGTTGCTATTTGTGTACACAAATCTGTGCATTCTTTACTACAACGTGTGCGGATAGACAATAGCGGTATGGAAATTTTATGTGTAAAGTTAAGTAATTTCAGTCCTATAGATTATATTTTATCAGTGTACTGTCCTCCCTCTTTGATTATAAGTAAAAGTGATTGGGATAGGCTTCTATCTTTGTATACTAAAAAAACACTAATATTAGGAGACTTCAATGCGCATCATAGTAATTGGTCGAATAAGATAGATTATAAGGGATCACTTATGTTTGATGCTTTAGTCGATAGTAACTTTATAACTTTAAATAATGGTGAGGCTACTAGGATGCGCTTAGTCAATGGGAGGCTTCAACAATCCTCACCTGATATTACCTTAGTTTCTTCAGATATTGCTTTACAATTCAACTGGAGGGTGATAAATGAAACATTGGGGAGTGACCACTTAATGGTGAAGGTTTCTTGTATTTCGAATTCTTTAATTAACCCTATAGTAAAGCGAAACTTTCGCAAAGCCAAGTGGACTTCATATAAAAATGACACAGAGAAATTGTTCACTGATCTCATTTTACCTGTAGATCTTCAAAAAGGTTATGATTTATTTATCTCTAAAATAAACGAGGCTGCTGCCAAAAATATACCTCTAGTTAAGTATAATCAGAACCCGGAATCTAAGTTTACCCCTAGATCTTTTTGGACAAAGGAATTATCCCATGAAGTAGCTCAGCGTAGACTTGCCCTTGCAATATTTCGACGAAATCCCAGCCCGAATAATTACATAAAACTTAAAAAACACATAAGTGTTGCGCAGCGAGATATTCGTTATGCTAGGAACAAAGATTTCCAGAATTCATGGTCTTCGGTGGATGAATCAACAACTTCCAATGAAATGTGGCATAAAATGTCCTGGATGAAAGGTTTTAGAAAGTCTAAGCGTCATATAAATGATATAGAAGCTGAAAAACTGCTTCGTTCATTAGCCCCTGATTACGTTTCCCCACCTTGTCCCGATATTCGAAGTACAAATATTACAATTGAATGCCCAATTTCAATTCAGGAGTTAGATAAATGTATTAAATCTAAGGACACATCCCCTGGATGTGACGATATATCATATTCAATGGTCAAAAATTTACATATGTCAGGAAAATTAATTCTTTTGTCTCTGTACAATAATTTTTTAACTCACAGCTTTGTACCGAAGCAATGGCGGGACATATGTATAGTACCAATTCCAAAGGCAGGACAAAATCAGGGTGACGAAAGATCCTTTCGGCCGATTGCTTTAATCTCATGTCTTTGTAAAATATTTCATTATATTTTATACAAAAGACTTGAGTGGTACATGGAAAAAAACAATTATTTTTCAGAAAATGTTTTTGGGTTCAGGAAAAATCGATCATGTTTGGACAGCTTGAGTAACCTCACATCAAGAATTCAAATAGGTTTTTCGAATGGATTATCAACAATGGCTCTTTTCTTAGATATTAAAAATGCATATAACAATATTGACAACAGTTCATTAATTGGTATTTTAGACCACTTCAAAGTTGGATCAAAAATTTGCAGATACTTGTTTAACTTTCTGAATAAACGTGTTTTAAATATTAAAATAGAAGGACGTTTGATAAGTAGATCAACAGGATGTGGGCTAGCTCAAGGTGATCCCTTATCCCCGCTTTTATTTAATGTAGCAACAATAAATATTTGCAAATATATTGAAAAAAAATGTTACATTTCGCAATACGCTGACGATTTTGTTGTATATGTTCACTGTTCATCAGCTCAGGAAGGTCAAATTAAAATAAAATACGCCTTAGATTGTATCAATAAAATGCTGTCAACGCTAGGTTTAGATATTTCTCCAGAGAAAAGCAAGGTTTGTATATTTAAGAGGGGAAATTTCAGAGAAATAATAAATATTTTCTTGAATGGATGCCGGATAGATGTAGCAGACACTGTTAGGTATCTAGGATTATGGCTCGATCGAAAGCTTTTGTGGGGTAAACATATATTGGCAATTAAAGAAAAGATATTAAAATTTGTAAAAAATTTCAAATTATTGACTGGTCCAGGCTGGGGTGTACATCCTACACATTTAAGACATCTATATCTTTCGCTTATACGTAGCAGACTGGATTATGCAAGCTTCCTCTTTGACAATAGTTGTACAAGTAATTTAGCAAAATTAGATAAAATTCAAAATATATTTTTACGATTAATAGGCAGTTTTGTTAAAAGTACACCTATCCATATAATGGAGTCAGAATTAAATTTGTGCCCCTTGTCTATCCGCAGACGCTTTTTAGCAGGTAAATTTTTATTAAAAGTTATGTCATTTAGTAATAGCCCAATGCTAAGTATCCTTGAGACCTTATCCAACTTTACAAATGTTTTATTCTGGAGACGTAAGAAACAACCACTTTTGGTATCAGTATACAATTTTTTAAAGTGTAATGAAATTTATAAAAGTAGTCTGAATGAAATATTCTCTTTAGATATATGGCTCTCCAATTTAAATATAGATAAGGCAGTGAAACCTAATTTAGATATTGTTAATAAGCCTAAACATTGTTACGAACGCGATATATTGAAAATGATTTGTATTAAGACATTAAGTGTAGCATATCCAAATTATTATGAAATTTATACTGATGGGTCTAAAGAAGAAGCAGGTTGTGGAGCGGCCTTTTTGGATTTAAAAACAGGGACATGTTGTAAATTTAGTATCAGTGCTCAAATATCTATAATGTTTGTTGAACTTATAGCAATTGCCGAAGCCATTTCGTACATCCAAACTATTGATTATCAAAATTTTGTGGTTTACACTGACTCTAAAAGTGCTCTTTTTACCTTTTAAAGTGTACAATGAATTTTAGAGGACATCCTATTGCCTCTACGATTTTAAATAATTTAAATGAACTCAACACTTCAAATAAAAATGTAATCTTACAATGGATTCCATCGCATATTGGGCTAGCTGGCAATGAAAAAGTTGACCGTCTGGCCAAGGAAGCAATTTCTGAGGGAAGTCATTACGAATATGTACCTTGGTTTACTGACTATATAGGGGATTTACGGAAAAACTGTCTAAATTTGTGGTCAGAATATTTTGATGAGCGTTCCCTTACTAAAGGAATCTGGTACAAAACTATTCAGCCTAAACTTATGGGTTCACTATGGTTTGAATTAGAAAAGATAAGTAGACAAGAGGTTATCATTGCATTTCGCATTCGGTCTGGTCACATCCATTTAAATAGTTTTGGTTACATGATGGGCAAAGTAAGTTCTCCCAATTGTGCCCTGTGTGGTACAGTAGAAGATGTCTATCATGTATTAGAAGAATGTGACCGAGTTAAAGCTCAAAGATCATTGATATTACCTCAACGTGGAAACAATGTTGGATACTGTAATAGTATTTTAGCTAATCCTTTGTCTAATAAAGCTAAGATGCTTTATAAATTAGTTAAATTAGTGATTAAACTTAGAAGTAAGTGAATTTGTTATTTATATTACATGTATTTGTAAGCAATGATGAGGGTGACATTTTCGCTTTGTGAAAAAACCCTCTATAAAAATAAAGAAAAAAAAAAAAGAACTTAAATTTAGACATACTATATTATTATTTAATCTGAACAACAGCAACGTGAAGCAGAACGTCTAGCATCTGGTGGTGGTGACGTCTTCTTCATGAGGACACCTGAAGACTTGAGTGGTCGTGACGGTGAACTGGTTTTGGTGGAGTTCTGTGAAGAGCACCCGCCACTCATCAGTCAAGTTGGAATGTGTACCAAGATCAAGAATTACTATAAACGTACTGCTACAAAGGTGGGTTTACTGTTAGGAAGAAAATGTTAGTTTTGTTTTTTTTAGTTCTAACTCATTTTTTTTTAAGAATTTTTATATTAAACTATACACAAATGATTGAAATATAGAGGAATGTCTATGTTCTGATTATTAGCTTTGAATAAATAACAAAAAAAGGCTAAAAATAAAAAACAAAACCTGTTCATCGAAATGAGAAAGCAAACAGAATTTCTACTATTCATCTAAAAAAGGTTTATATTTCTACGAAATTGGTTCAGTCTAGCATAAGACTTAGATGTAGAAACTTCACTAAAATATATAATATCCCCAGGACAACGGACCAAAGCCCCTCAAATACGGTGAGATAGCGTACGCGCACACGTCCCCGTTCCTGGGCATCCTGCCGCCGGGCGCCACGCAGCCCGTCGTCGAGAACAACATGTACCGCGCGCCCATATACGAGCACACCGTGCCGCAGACCGACTTCCTCGTTATACGGACTAAGTGAGTTGGGTATTATAATTATATTAATACATACTACCACTTTTTAGGGTTCCGTACTTTGAAAAAAAAAGGAAGCCATATAGGATCACTTCGTTGTCCGTCTGTCTGTCTGTCAAGATCCTTTGTCTCAGAAACGCGTGGAGGAGGAGGAGGTATCATGTTAAAATTAACAATCAAATGCTCATTCCTGTAATCCCTTGAAGCTGTACAAAAAACAAACTTTTAAGTCAACAACAAAATATATGTTCGTTTATGCGGCTTGTTCTCACATGTCTTAAAGCACAAGTAAAAAAAAACCGAAATCCGTAAATTTGTAGTTACACAAAAAAAAATTTTTTTTTGCCATTAAAAATTATTATAATGTTTCAGTTAGAGTCTATGTTTTTGTAGATGCGGAATAAGTTAAATGGATTAACCTATTTTTTTTCTTTTAATAGACAAGCGTATTATATTCGTGAGATCGATGCTCTATTTGTCGCCGGCCAAGAGTGTCCTCTGTATGAAGTGCCCGGACCTAATTCAAAGAGAGCTAATAACTTTGTTCGAGACTTCTTGCAGGTATTTTAAGATTATTTATTATTATTATATATTGTGTATGTCCAAAAGATATTCTTTCAAATAGCAAAATATTACTTTAAACTGTTAAAAATATGTATATTTTTTTGTATATCTTTCTACATACAAAAACGCTTGAAATAACAAAATGGAATATTTTTTACTAACATACATTTTAATGTACATATCGTGTTATAATTTTTGAGTTTTAGATTGTAAAAAAATATTTCTCGTTACAGGTGTTTATATATAGATTGTTCTGGAAGTCTCCGGATAACCCGCGCCGTATAAAGATGGACGATATCAAACGAGCTTTCCCGTCACACTCTGAGAGCTCGATAAGAAAACGTCTTAAACTTTGTGCTGATTTCAAACGTACTGGCTGCGACTCCAACTGGTATGATATAATATAATGATAATTTTTTCCTTTCCTTGAAAATTGAAAAAGAAAAGAAATAGTAACTCAAAACATTATATCTTTACGGCACTCAATGCTGTATATTTCTCAAACGGAGATGAAACGAATTTTTGTTCCAACCTTTACTAGGTACTTTCAGAAATTAGTGCGTTAATAGACAAAAAAAATGAAATAGATAACAATTTAGAAGCTTTACAATAGATATAAGCAATATATATACATATTATGTATGTCCAATGTACGTAAGTATGTATGTAGATGTAAGTATGCGCAAATGACATTGCAACTCTTGTCGATTATTATACAAAATTACTGTTCATTAAAAAATTAAATATTACTTAAAATTTACACATACATATATAATAAAATTCTGAGTCGAATCTGTATATTAAATATTTTTTGGAAAATCTTATTGAAATAGACATTATTATCGATACAGAGGCCGAATCTATAGTTTTTAGAATTTTGACTGTTTGTCTGTCCGTCTGTCTATCTTATCTATCTGAGGGATTTTGATAAAATTTGGCGTGGTTATCCGGGTCAACATACAGGATACTTTTTACTGCGAGCAAATATCTCTGAGAAATCTATACTAAACAATGATATAACACTGGCAACACTGGCGTAAACAGCTGTTTTTACTCGTCTTACATTTATTTGTTAAAATATTAATTATTCCTAAGTATTTTGTGCCATATTCCTATTAAATCACTAAAATAAGTAGTGATAAGTGTTAGTTATTAATAATTAGTGATATTAGTGCGTAAAATAGTTTTTATTTATGAAATAAGTTAAGTGTCAGTTAAGCTGAAAAATTTGAAATTTAGTTGTTATTTTAAACAAAATAGTGTGTTTCCAATAGTTATTATATTAAATATTGCTTTATAATACTTTAATTTACTTGTACTAGTAATTGCAATTTATCAACATTAACCTCTCTTTTGTTTTGCCCCACGAATCCTTTTATTTGATTTATAATGACAACCCGTAGAGCATTTGCCCGCCAGGAGGAGTCTAAACTCCAATTGGCTTTACAGGAACTAAAAGTAAGTAAGGATTTGTGTGCTCAACTGCATAGTGAAAGAGAGGAAAATGAAAAAGAATTATTGACAATATTAAAAAGTAATGACAAGTTAAAAGCTTCATTGACACGGTTACATATAGATTATAGTGATCTTTCAGAGGAGAGAGACAGATTAAAATCAATAGTAGTTAGTTTTGATGAGTGTGCGGTGGAGTATGAACAGGCACTGAAGCGGATCACCACACTGGAATGCGAGCTGCGAGATGCACAAAAATATATCTCTGAGCTGGAAGAGAGTGCCCATCAAGCAACAGCACTGCACACTCATAGCTTGTTCGAAGAGTTAGTTGAGAACGCTCCAGAGTTGGTTGATGTTACAATTGAAAACCCGGTAACTATAGATCTTACAAATGATACCTTACCAGCACAACGGTTAGACAATTGTAGCAACAATAAACTAAAAAGGTACATAAAAGTAAATAAATTAATAAAGAAAACAAAAAAGATATTAAGTAAAAACAAATGTATTTCCAAAATATATAAAAATAACAGTTCACTATTGTCAAAATTTAAGGTTTGTAAATTAGAATTGGAAAATATAAGCCAGAGATATGAGTCTGACACACAATTATTAGAATTACACATAGCCCAGTTGCAAACTTCCTTAAGAAGTATTACTGCAAAGTATGAAAGTAGTGAGAAAATGTTAAATGAGTACCAACTGGAGATGGATGAACTACTAAAGTTATCTAAGTATAACTCTGAAAGATTTGACTCACTCACAAACAATTGTATATGTGAATGTAAACAACTGAGTTCTCCACCCCCGGTCAATACTCCCCCATTTCAGGGAATATTGTGTGACAGGACTGATCTCTCTACTGTTGATAGTTCCCTCCAACATGGAAACACATATATGTACAGTGATGAAATTGGAAGGAATATGGGCACCTATTTATACTCACAATTTGATACAAAAGTATCAAACAGCTGTTTACCAAATTGCTGTCTTTCTGAAATTATTTCACAAATTCATAAAGACAGCAAAAATTTCAATATACAAAGTAATTTAATAATTTTCATAGGAAATAGGGGTAATGTAAACAAAATAGAATTGTTAAAATGTTTAGAATATTTGAATAAGCTAAAAGTTAATAAAATTGTAATGTTTACTTTACCTTACTGTAACAAGTTGCCACAACATGAAAATAATCTTAGATATAAGTATAATATGACATTGTACAATTCATGTACTTACAATTCGAAATTCAATGTTATTGATTTTAACAAATCATATGCTAATAAATATTATTATAAGTGGACTGATAGTAGGTATTCCCTACCATCTTTTATAAAACAACAGATAGCTATGTCGCTATCTTATTATTTTAAAACTTTAGCTAAGAATTTGGCTATACAAGAAGCTCCTATTGAGCTATGCAGTAGTAATAGTAATATTTTGAATGTACCACAGAGTACTTTAAACTACAAAAAAAGACAATAGAGATCTCCTCTAGCCCAATATTAACAGATAATAATATTTATTTAAAAAACAAAAAAGTATGTAATAGTATTCAATATATCAATCTGGTGCATCAGAATATTCAATGTTTGAGAGGTAAAATATTAGAAGTAGAATTATTTTTAAATAGTTTTGATATTAATATATTCTGTGTTACTGAACATTGGTTGAAAGTTCATGAAATCATGTTTAATTTCAGTAACCACCAGGTTGGTAGTACGTTTACCAGGGCGAATTCCATACATGGTGGCTCTTTAATAATACTGAACAAATTGTTGAAATATAAGGAACGTAAAGACATAGTGAGCCTCTCTGTTGAGCGTACAATTGAATTAGCATCAGTAGAGTTAGAGCAATTCATTGTAGTATGTGTATACAGACCTCCCTCATCTAACTATGATACTTTTGAAACAGTTATGGATGTAATGCTAAATAAATTGTCAAATTCTAATAAAAAAAAGATTGTGTGTGGAGACTTTAACATAAATATTTTAGAACAAAGTACTTTGAGTATGAAATTACTTAACCTTTTTACATCACACAATCTTTCCAAAATGTTTATGGAGCCAACAAGAATAACTGCCACTAGTGCCACTTGTATAGACAACATTTTTACCAACTTTACACCAATTTCTAAAAATATTATTAGTAAGATAGATTCTGATCATTGTGGTCAATTAATAAAGTTTAATATCGATAAAAATGTTGTCACAAAAAGGAAAATCTCTTTTGTGCCAGTAACTACAAACCGACTCATTCAATTGCAAAATGACCTAAGTTGTTATTTACCATTATTAAGTAATAATTTAAGTGCGAATGAGATGTATAACCAATTCTTTAAATCTTTTAGTAAACTTTACAATTCGGTATTCACTACCAAATCGGTTACAGTTTCTGATACATTGGTATTTAGTGAGTGGGCAACTGCAGAGTTATATAAAAAAAGAGAAAAATTATACGAAATGTACGCAGAAAGGCAGCATAACACTAGTGAACGGTTTAGAGACAAAGTTAAATCATTTTCCAAATTATTTAAAAAGGATTGCGAAATGGCAAAGTCTCATTATCTGAGTAACAAGATAGAAAATAGTGGTAATAAAATTAAAGCTACATGGAAAATAATTAACGAGGAAACTGGAAAGAGTAAAACTCTAAACAATAGCTTTAAATTAAATATAGATAATAAATACATTAGTTCTGACTCTGAGGTAGCCGCCGCGTTTGAAACCTTTTTTACCGACATACCAGTTTCCACTACTTGGTCTCTGAACTCTTCACCTGCCACTGCGATCAAATTATTGGAACAAAATGTGGAAGAATGCAATATTAGCTTTAAGTTCGAAAATATAAATGCACAACAAATTATAAATGTATTTAAATTACTGAATGTTAAAAAAACAAAAGATCTTTGGGGAATTTCTGTTAGCATCCTTAAACCACTTATTGATGTTGTTGCATCTGACTTAGCATTAATATTTAATAAGTGTGTAGAATCTGGTGTGTTTCCTGACTTAATGAAACTTAGTAAAATTATTCCTTTGTTTAAATCGGGTTGTACCTCTGATGCCACTAATTTTAGGCCTATTTCAATATTACCTACATTTAGTAAAATCTTTGAAAAAATAATGTTAACTCAAATTACGAAACATTTTTATAATAATGAACTATTACATGTAAAGCAATACGGTTTCACTCGCGGTCGTTCAACAGCCGATGCTGGAGTCGCGTTACTTCTAAATATATTTGAGGCCTGGGAGGAGTCACGTGATGCACTTGGCATTTTCTGTGATTTGTCCAAGGCATTTGATTGCGTTCATCATGAAACGTTGGTCAGAAAATTACACCACTACGGAATTAGAGATAAGGCTCTGGATTTACTTAGATCATATTTGAATGAAAGAATCCAGAGGGTAGACGTGAATGGAAAGCGTTCCCCTGGATCAGTTGTTGAAATGGGTGTACCACAAGGTTCAATTTTGGGTCCTTTTTTGTTCCTCATTTATATAAATGACCTACCATACCTCGTAAAGGATGACCACGGGATAGTTTTGTTTGCTGATGATACATCTTTAGTTTTTAAAGTTAACAGACGACAAGCAGTAATTGACGATGTGAACATTGCTTTATCCAAAGTGGTACAATGGTTTAATGTCAACAACCTTTTACTAAACGAGAAAAAAACAAAATGTGTAAAATTCACTTTACCAAATGTTAAAAGTGTAAAAACCAATGTACGACTGAATAATGAGGAACTAGATCTAGCTGATACCACTGTATTTCTAGGCATTACATTAGATGCCAAACTCCAATGGGGCCCTCATATTTCTCAATTATCGAATAAGCTCAGTTCTGCAGCCTACGCGGTTAAGAAAATACGTCAATTAACAAATGTAACGACAGCTAAGTTAGTATACTTTAGCTATTTTCACAGCATTATGTCATATGGTATTTTACTATGGGGTAATGCTGCTGATATTGACACAATTTTTGTGCTGCAGAAAAGGGCTGTTCGAGCTATATATAATTTAGGCCCAAGAGAATCTTTGCGGAATAAGTTTAAAGAAATTAAAATAATGACTGTACACTGCCAATACATCTATCAAAATCTAATATATGTACATAAAAATATTGATAAATTCAAGAAATATAGTGACCTGCATAATGTAAACACTAGAAACAAAAATAAGCTAGTTCAGCCCACCACTAGGCTCCATAAAATTGGTAATTCCTTTATTGGTAATAGTATTCGCTTTTACAATAAACTACCAGATGATACTTTAAAACTGTCAATAAATAAATTTAAAATTTACATTAAAAGACAATTAATAAATAAATCCTATTATAATGTAAAGGATTATTTAAGTGATAAAAAAGCTTGGGAATGAATTGCTCTTTATACTGAAGTAAGGATGTTTGTGAAACAATGATCACAATAAAAAAAAAAAATGTTACTTGGCTGAGTTTCTTGTGGGTTCTTCTCAGACCAGGGCGCGTTACGAACCCTCGTAGCTTTAGTTTAAGTCTTCTAATTGACGTACACAAGTGATCATTGAATTGATACAATGTGTAAAAAGAAGTAAATAAATAAATAAATAAAAAACGTTAAAACGTAACTAGGGATGAACTCGAGCGGAACGAGGGTGAGTCGTCAGTAATATTATAAAAATCGAAGTACATATACAACAACTCCAAAATATTATATATAATAACTTTTAAATATTCAAATCAGGTGGGTTATTAAACCCGATTTTCGTCTACCGTCGGAAGAGGAGATACGCGCGATGGTGTCGCCCGAGCAGTGCTGCGCGTACTTCAGCATGGCGGCGGCGGAGCAACGGTTGAAGGACGCGGGGTATGGGGAGAAGTTCATATTCACACCGCAAGAGGATGATGATGAAGAAATGCAGTTGAAAATGGATGATGAGGTGTGGTTTTTTAATTTTCATGTATTAGGTTCCTTTATGACTTTTTTAGTTTCGTTTTTACATTGAATGTGTGTTATTAAATGTTTGGAACAGCAATGTAAGTTTTTCTTTTAATTTGGTCAGAAAAGATTTTTGTTCGGTGATAAATTGGCTTGCACAAAATATTGGATATATTATTTTTCTTCTTTGTATATATTATTATTTGTATATTATCAAGATTTTTCATTTTCTACGATAGGATTTGCCATAAGCAACATTAAAAAGAAATCTAAATGCCCATTCTCCCATATTTCTAATTTCAAAAATTACATATTTTGATCCACTATTTAGAGTTGAAGATTTTTCTTGTAAAGACATTAGAGTCCTTAGGGGTAGAATATGCTACAAAGACTAATTTGATTGTCGATATCTGACATATTTTTTATCCTAGGTCAAAGTGGCCCCATGGAACACAACCCGTGCATACATCCAGGCTATGAGAGGCAAGTGTCTCCTCCAGTTGACGGGTCCCGCAGACCCCACAGGTTGTGGGGAAGGGTTCTCCTATGTAAGGGTGCCAAATAAACCCACGCAGCAGCCCAATGAGGAACAGCAACCAAAGAGGACGGTGACAGGAACAGACGCGGATTTGAGGAGGCTGAGCTTGAATAACGCTAAGGCCTTGTTGAGAAAATTTGGTGTTCCTGAAGAAGAGGTAAATTATTATGTTTTTATACTAATTTATATAAGTAACTTTTTGACTAATCATTTAAAAGGTAGAAATTTTCTGGGCAGAAAATATGTATAAAAACCTCCTTATAAATTTTAAGAAAACAGAATCTTTAGATATTATTCTATTCAAAAATATAATGAAAATCGATTTGAATTGGTGAAGATATGGCACAACATACACAAAATAAAGTATAATTTGATTGAGTCTTCTAGTTTTTTAAATTGGTCAAAATTACAGAGAAATACGTGGATGGACTGCAAATAGCGAGTTTATTTGATATACTAAAGATTATTCTTATTTGAGAAAGCCTAATTTATAATTTTTTCCTCTTTAAAAATGATTTATTTCAATATAAGTGATTGAAGAAATGTAAATATTTTACAGATCAAAAAATTATCTCGTTGGGAAGTCATTGACGTGGTGCGAACGTTATCTACGGAGAAAGCAAAGGCCGGTGAAGAGGGTATGACCAAATTCTCTAGAGGAAACAGATTTTCAATAGCAGAGCATCAAGAAAGGTATTTTGTTTAAGTTTTTATATATTATGTAATGATTATGTTACACAAATGATATATTCTTTTTAAATTATAAAACAACTTTTCTTTTAAAATAGTGCCAATGCAAAATTTTAACTCTTACTTTTTTAATTATTCAAGAAATTGAAAACCATCTGTCAATATCTTCATGTTTATGTTTTGGTGTATTGAATAAAAAAAAATCACATATTATTAATATGTACAAAAAATTAAGGTTGTCTGTCTTGTCTTGTCATATGTACTATGTATATATAATTTGGTACTATGTTTTAATACTTCATATTGCATTGTAAATTACCTAATTGTATATAGATACAAAGAAGAATGTCAACGTATATTCGAGCTACAAAACCGAGTGCTGACCAGCACTGAAGTGTTGAGTACAGATGAAGCGGAAAGTTCCGTCAGTGAAGAGTCCGACTTAGAAGAGATGGGCAAAAACTTGGAAAATATGTTAGCCAATAAGAAAACTACGGAACAGGTTAGATAAAATTAGTTTTTTTAATACGCTTTTATTTCTTCACTTGTAACTAACTAACAAACAATGCAATCTTGAAAGTTAATTTTTGATCTACTTTGGATTGTCATATGAAAACTTAAACAAAAATCGACTTCCAAGCACTAAAATGTAAAAATAACTAAATGGGGGTTTTCATTTTGTGCTAGCCGATGCAAAGCCAATCTTAATATATTTCGATACGTAAAATACATATTTACCTATTAGATATTCGTATCTTAAAATATTATCAGCTCACCAAATAAGGTGGTTATCAAAATCTGTTTACTTAACATAATGTATTGAAAAAGAGAGTTAATTAAACATTTGCTGCCCAAGTTTCCAGAGTTTTGTTTTATTTACATATATTTGGCCTTAGTATTCAATAATTGAATCGTAGTGTTTTTTGTTCTTGAATGTATGTATATTCTGTTAAATTTTTAGTTGACAATGGAAAGAGAAGAAGCGGAGAGGGCTGAACTAAGAAAAATGATATTGGGACAATCTGAGAAGAAACCACAAATTAATAATCAAAATGACCAGCAGCAATCATCAAATCAAGGTATTATCGCGGCTCCGCCCGCGTTCAGATGACTAAAAACCAAATTCTTAGGTTTTACATATTAGTATACTCTTACAATGCAGTTTTTGTATTTTTTCTCAGAAATGAGATATTTTCCCGCGGTAAAAAGTATTCTATATGTTGACCCGGATAACCAGCTATCATCATACCAAATTTCATCAGAATCTGTCCAATGGTTTTCTCGTGATGCGATAACAGATGGACAGACAGACAGACAAAAATTCTAAAAACTATAGATTCGGACTCTTTATCGATAATAATGTCTATTTCAATAAGATTTTCCAAAAAATATTTAATGTACAGATTCGACTTAGTTACAATTTTATTATATGTATAGATGTATAATAATAAAGTTACATTTCTATAGAATTAAATATGAGAAATACAAAAAAAAAAGAAATATTCTCATATAAAGTTACTTTAGAAATTAAAAAGTCTATGACATGAGTAATCCAAATCTATGACGAATTTAGTTGTTTATAAATTATTTTTTTATTAGTTTTATAATATCCTATATATAATATATTAAGTTTCCGCAAGTTTTTCCATACTATGCTTGTAATCTCTTCTAGTGTCATAATCTGTAGTCTTTGGGATATGTAAGCAAACAAAACGTACTTCTTAAGCCTTTAATGCGAAACTACTGTGACCGTTACAATTCACAATGAAGAAATAATACATATCATTTTTCTACATACATTACAATATATTATAGTATCTTTCGTGTTCTTGTTAATTTTAATTCTTGACGACACGCTTGGCTCAGTTTGTAGTGACCCTACTTTCTGTGCCAGCGGTCGCGGGTTCGAGTCCCGCTGGGGGCATTCATTTGTGTGATGACGAATGTTTGTACTCCAGTCATGGGTGTTTATATTTATAATATGTATGTATTTAAAGTTTATATATGTGTAGTGTATCAACTATCTGGTATCCATAACACGGTCCTCGTAGCTTACCATGGAACTAGATAGTCCTGTGTGTTAAAAAATAAAAAAATAAAAAATAAAGGCACTCTCATTTTTGTTTGTGCACAATAAAGAGTTGAAGATAAAATTTTGGTCTAAAAGAGCTCTTCTTAATCTTTATATATTATAATCAATATAAAAATAATATATAATATACTTAAAAAATATATCATTTAGGTCGAGTCCTACGCATTGTCAGAACATTCCGTAACGCGTCCGGACAAAGATACACTCGCGTGGAGTTAGTAAGGAAAGCAGCCGTCATAGAAGCCTATACAAAGATAAGGTCAACCAAGGACGAGGCCTTCATACGACAGTTCGCCACCATGGACGAGTCGCAGAAGGAAGAGATGAAGAGAGAAAAGAGAAGAATTCAGGTATAGAACATGCTTCTTTTGCTTTTATGTTATCCTGAAGAATGGGTGTAATAATAAATAATACGTTTTATTTAAGAAACTGACGGTATTTAAAACTTTAAGTCTACTTTTTGAACGTCAGCTTTTGGAATCAATTTTTAAACAACACTATTAGTACTGGTAATATTAATAGTCATTATGTTATTGTTAGTGGTTTATTGTTAAAAATGTTTTCTTAGAACCCGAAGTAACCTAAAACTTTCTTAGATTTACACGAATATTTGTTCATTTTAAATAAAACTATCTTTTCGGGTTTTTTCGCGGATTTATTTAGATCTTTCTTGTCTGACGTTTCTCCATGATGTCTCTCCCGTGACCATCAATACTGTAAACAACAATAAAATTCAAAATAAATCCATGAAAAATCCCAAAAGATAGTTTTATCTCAAATAACCTTTTATTATATTTTATTATAAATGTTTATTCCCACAGGAGCAATTGAGACGTATCAAGAGAAATCAAGAGAGGGAGAGGTTAGCGGGCAACCCGTCTGTGCCGGGTACTTCTCTTGGTGACAGTAAGTTTTTGTATACATTGTACTCGTATGTATAATATTGTATTTAGCCTTACGATGTTTTCCTTCATCGTAAGACATGTGGTAATCACGTTGGAAATGATTCGCACATGAAAATATCAGAGGTAAGAGACCGGGGATTTGAACCCGCTTCACTCAGTTTCCCAAGCGAGCGCGTTACCACTGGGCTACCACTGCCTTTTGTGCACATAATAATAATATATTTATTACTCACAGTTTCGCCTTCGTATATTATTTTTGTTTAATTGTTTTAATTCAAACGTGTCGTCATTGTACTTTTAATTATAAAAAAACCCAGTGCTAAACACCAACACAATACAAAGAGAATACAAAGAGCCCCTATTTGTTGATGTAAAGGCCATTTTCAGTCATTATTTTTAATTATTTCGTCATACAATAGGCATGAACATGTCGGCTATGTCAGAGTTGAGTTCGCCATCGTCCGGTCTCCTCATTCCTTTGGGCCAGATCAAACAGGAACCAGATTTGCACACTCCGTCTAAACGACGTGCAAAACTAAAGCCTGACTTGAAGTTAAAGGTTAGTTATATTTTTTATTATATTTACTTATATTAGTACCTGTGCGACCGAACTTCGCTCAGAGTTTTTGGCCAAAAGTACAATTTTCTTTTTAATTTGGCTTAAAAACAAAATAAAAACAAAAGTAAAACTGATCCGACCGGGATTCGAACCCGGACACCTGTGAACGTTAATCTTGCGCTTTGGCTGCTTGACCACGAGGCTTATGTCCGAGCGTGCGTGAAAACTTGTAAACGCGTTTTCGCGCGTTTGACCTGAAAACGCTCCGAGTTTTTTTCTAATGATGACCGTATTTCGGGTCTCTCGCAGCAGCGCAATCAGAAATATGAATCATAAATATTACTGCATTTTTTTCATCTGCAAAATAAAATATGTATATGTTTATTATGTACATATATGTATGTATATTTAAATTTTCCATATGATTCCAGTGCGGCGCATGCGGTCAAGTGGGCCACATGCGCACGAACAAGGCGTGTCCGCTGTACACGGGCGGCGGCGCGGCGTCGCCCGAGCACGACGAGCCGCCGCCGGAACCCGACGACCTCGAACTCGGCTACGTCGACGGCACTAAGCTCACCCTACCCTCTAAAATTATTAAGGTAAGACTCTCTAAAATTATTAAGGTACTTTGGTGCCATTTTTGAAATCATTTTTGTAAAATAGTGGGCAGGCACTGTCTGTAACAAGTATATAACGCCTTCGACACGTCTATAACCTTAGTCTTTCCCGTGACCATGATTGCTGTAAAGCATTCGAAACGTCGGGAACCAAAAATCTAAATAAATGTGCGAAATAATCCGAAAAGATAGTTTTATTTAAAATTATTAAGGTAAGGTTGAAATATGTTATATATATGTTGAAATTGAAGTGGAAATAAAACTTATATTATTTACAATACGTATTTATTGTTACATATATTTTAAACAACAGTCACAGGCAAAGGTATAATAATCGAATGGAAAAAGTGTCCAATCTTAAATACTATATTTAATTTTTATTTTTCTTTTTTACCAATATTAGAATAAAGTTTGCGTTCCCAATACTTAACATTATATTAGAAAAAAAAATCTGGACATATAAATAATGAATCGCTCGCGTCGGGTTCAGAAGTATTGTGAAAACTAAATTAATTGTTTGAAGAAATCGGCAGCTTTAATTTGGGCTATTCTTTGGATTATTTTTGTTTACTTACGACTGACTATAAGTGGCGTTGAACCGCAAACTCTGGATCATAATAAATGGATAATAAAATAATATTTTATAAACACGTACCTATCTATCTATGTACTAAAATATGATGTAAAATTTATTAAAACTTATTTTGAATTTTTACTTTACAATTTTTAACCGTCTCTATCTATCTCTAATATCTTACTGATTCCGATTTGATAAGAACGCATTATTTCATTTTTCTTACTTTAAAAAACAAAAATACCAGATTATATTATTTTTAATTTTTCGCAAACGTCAACAAATAACGCCATCTTGTTGGCTTTGACTAATTATAAACCACGAAATGACTGTGTCGACTAACAAATGACATGGATTTTACTTTAAAAAAGATACGAAGTAAAATATTAGTCCCGCTGAGTTCTTTCGGTGTCGGTAATAAAACTAGAAAAATGTCGCCCCCGGATGGGCTCGAACCACCAACCTTTCGGTTAACAGCCGAACGCGCTATGCGCCACGGAGGCTCATATCTAGCATGCTAAATTTGCGTACTATTATAATAAACCTATACTATATTAAATGTATATATTTTAGTATGAAAATCATATTATTTCTATAATTAGCAAAAATGTTGAGTTTCTCGTCGGCTCTTATCAGAAGAATTGTCATCCGAGCCGGTGGTAGTAATTCCTCAAGAATTTACATTTCAAAAATTTACCATACAAAAGTGCTTGTAAAAGTCTATTTGGATAAAGTATATTTTGATTTTGATAATATATTGCTTTGCAAATTTTTCAAGTTTTATTTTTAAGAAATATTTTTACAATACTTCGTTATGATGTCTTGAGATTATTATACAAATATTATTAAACAATTTCTTTTTTTGTTTGAATGCAAATATATTTATAAGTTATAATAACATAGAGTTATTATATTATTATTACATTAAAGTAACACAACAAATATACTCACAGGATCTGTCATTGTAGGATAGTGAGATCATTGAATCATAAGCACAATATCAAAGCCTTAAAAAAAATATAATTTTGAATCGTTTCAAATAAGATTTTACTGGCATATTTTGGGTGATACGAGAACGAGACACTATGTGTATTTATCCCGGTGGAAAAAGGCTTATACAGGAGAGGAAAAAAAAGTATCGTGGCACCGGAAAACGTAGTAAGCATCGTAATAGACCCCATCGAATCTGTTACAGCAATCAAACGAGGAGTTCCGGCGTCGTAGCGGCAGCCGGCGCGGCGACGTGCGCGCGGCCGGCCGCAGCCGCCGCCGCGGCACCGCCGGCGACGCCTGCGACTACCTGGTGCGGCGCCCCGCCGAGCGCCGCCGCACCGACCCGCTCGTCACCCTGTCCTCCCTGCTGGAGGACGTGCTCAACCACATGCGCCATCTGCCGGACGTGCAGCCCTTCCTCTTCCCTGTCAATCCTAAGGTATGTTAGACAAGCTTTTAGCTGAGAACTAAGTATAGTGAAGTGTCTAGCAGAAAGTCGCCGCACCGTCCACCGATGACCTTGTCCTTTACTAAAAGACGTGCTTAATCATATGCGACTTTTAGTTGAGAATTAAACGTAGAAAAGCGTCTTTGACCTTATCCTCAGTGTTACAGGTATGCTAAATCACATAATCGAGTCGTAAATTAGACATTAGTATGTCAGTAAACTAAAATTAGCAGGAGTAAATATCTTTACAGAAAAAAAACTTCTTACAACCGGACAATGGTTTTACCGTACAAATGTTTACTTTAATAAGGTGGCTCGGCCAAATTGTCAACTATTGAGCCGTAAAAAACTGATATTGTCACACACCGCCCGGACATGTAGTGTGGCACGGTTTTATGTAGATTTGCCTCTGTAGGAATGCGGAAGTATCAGGGATATGTATGTATCCCTAGGGATACATCTGTATCCCTTGGGATATGCGAGTATCTCTACTTAAACAACGCTACGTAATATACAAAGTTTTTTATGCGTTTAATTACTCTTAACGTTTTCAATACATATTACATATATCGTAATGCAGTAGACGAGTATTATAATTTATAACAAAGTTATTTAACGTAAAAATATATTGGTATAGTTCACCTAAATTTTTCCTGCCTTTTAATTTATATTATTTTTACATAATTAATTGTTCATTATGTATAAATAAATAATTGTATAATAAAATATATAATTAATAGAACTTATAATAAAATTAGAATACTATAAACTTATTTTTAGGTATAAAAATATCGATAGTGTACTTTGTTGTAATATACTTTTTATATTGCAGCTTGTAGCAGATTACTACCGCATCGTATCTCGGCCGATGGACTTGCAGACGATTAGAGATAATTTAAGGCAGAAACATTATCAAAGCCGTGAAGAGTTCCTTGCTGATGTCAATCAGATCGTTGAGAACTCTAATCTTTATAATGGTAAGTTTTTTAAAAGTATCTAGTTTTCGGGCTATATTAAAAAAATAAACTTAGTATATTTATACTTTAAACGAACTCTTGATTAAATACGAAAATAACACGATTTTTACTTGTTTCTTTTTGCATTTTAACCATATGGTATATTTGTAATGTAATAAAGAAGAAAAACATATATATGTATGTAAACCTCGTAACAATTTATTTATATTTTATTTATATAATACCCATGATTACTTAGGTCCCACAAGTAGCTTAACAGTGGCAGCACAACGTATGATGCAAAGATGCTTCGAGAAGTTGGCAGAAAAAGAAGAACAATTTATGAAACTTGAGAAGCAAATCAACCCGTTGCTCGATGATAATGATCAGGTATAAATTCATTCTTATGAGACCACCTTATTATTTTTCTTTACATAACAAAATATTGTGTGACATACATAAGTTCAGTTGGCAAATATGTGTATTCACTTTATATCATCGATCAAAAAAGTACTACGTGTATCTAGTAGTAATAATAAGCGACAAAATATGACCTCACCGAATGAGCCCTTCATTTGAGAATTAGAGCGTGCTTTAATATCTTTTTTTTGTGAAAACAATTTTAAGCATTGCATTTAATGTCCACTTTACATTGTTGTATATTATATATTTCAACTAGAATAGTTACCTAAATACAACTATTGGTGACAGTGTTAAAAGAACTTTTGTATGGGATTGTGTATCTAGTACTTTTGACAATAAGGATTTTAAATTAGATCTTGATATAAACTACAAAAATATAGAAAATTATTGACAAATATATATGTACTTATTATGATTCATAGGTGGCGCTATCGTTTATCTTCGAGAATCTTCTAACTACCAAGTTGAAAGTGATGCCGGAGGCGTGGCCATTCTTGAAACCTGTAAATAAGAAGCAAGTGAAAGATTACTATAACGTCATTAAGAAACCTATTGATATGGAAACTATTGGGAAGAAGATTCAAGGTACATGATAATATAGCCTTAGTTTGACATTTTATTTTTAATTTTAATTGATATTTTTTACATAAAAATAGAGTAGTGTGAATTAAAAAAAATATGGAGCAAACGTGAATGAAAAAAAAAAATATTCAGCAACACGTGATTCTCATTGATCAAAGAATTATTGTAAGTAGAAGTAAAATGAAGTGAATACGCGTTACAAGTCTTTACTTATTATGAATAAGAAAATATTGTAATGCTATTTTTTGTCTATACTCATTTTTGTTATTACTTTCTGTACCTTTATCTCACACAATGGATTGATGTTTTTTTTTTAAATCGATTTAAGATGTCAACGAGACATATTTTTACTTTTTAATCCCGTGGGACTTTTTTTAACGTTGGGAAATGCATTTACGCACGAGGTGTGGGACTCACCGGCGAAGCCAGTACTACCCAGTAAAACCCAACAAAAACTTCCCCCGTCTCAATGGGGTGTTGCAGGATCGCTTACGCATTCAACTACGACGCCCCGACGGCAGGTCTGCCGAAGAAGACCACAACAACCACGGGGTTGCTCCAAGGTCCACTCTGCTATCAGAGAAGTACCAGGAGCAACCCGCATGGAACACCGCCCTCCGAAGAGGGCCGCCTCCCTGTGCGTTTCTTGGCTTCGCGCCCGGCTGTATTGCCTGGTACTACTGAGCCCCACGACAAGGTGAACGCACGTTGGGGTCGGGGGATCCCGTGGGATACCAGCCTCTTATATATGCTATTATTAAAGTAATTTAAGTATAATTCCTCTCCAGCACACAAATACCATAGTCGTGACGAGTTCCTCCGCGACATACAGCTATTGGTAGACAACTGCCGCGCGTACAACGGCCTTAACTCGCAGTTCACTCGCCAAGCTGAAGCCGTTTTGAAGGTTACACAGGAGGCCTTAGAACAGGTATGTGGTAACTATGGTTACGATATGGGGTTTCTAAAATATATATTTTCTTTTTAAAATCTTTTAGGATTTATTTTGTTTTTTGGTTCCTGACGTTTGACCGTGACCATGATTGCTGTAAAGCATTCGAAACGACGGGAAAAATTCGAAAGGATAGTTTTGTTTAAAATGTCAAATATTTTTGTAAACCTAAGAAAGTATTATGTGAACCATCGATAAAAAAGTACAAGATCCACAATCCCATGCAAAAGTCCTCCCTAAAATTGTCACAAATTGTGCTTAGGTAATTCTAGTTGGAATAAATATACAGCAATGTAAATTCTACCCTAAAAGTTATTTTTACAAAAAAAAATTAAAAGCGCGCTCAAATGTTCAAATTAGCGCTCATTAGGTGAGGACATTTTTAGTCGCTGATTGTGTATCTAGTACTTTTTTGATTTGATCGACGGAAATAAACAATAAAATTTTAGAACCTATTCCAATTTCGAAAATTTAACAAAAAATAAGCCTTAAGATTATAGTAATATGGCATTCTTTTTAAGTGCAAGATAATGTTTACCTTAATTTTGTATATACGCAAATGACTAATCGATTCTGCCATTCTAATTATTATCTAGCGAGAATAAGGAAACTTAAATCGTTATAAAATATAGTATAACACTTAACATCTAAAAAAACCCATTCGTTCCACACAGTTCGACGAGCACGTGAGTCAGCTAGAGGCGAACATAGCGCGAGTCCAGCAGAAGATGTTGGAAGACGCGGAGCAGTCCGACCTGGACGACGACGCGCCCGCGCCCGACGAGAAGCGCGGCCGCGGCCGGCCCAGGAAGCACAAGCCTACTGCCTCTACGTCCACTGATGGTCTGTTTTTATGTTGTTTTCGAATGGTAAATTAGGGTTCCGTATGTGTACACATGGTAAAGGTAAAGATGTAACGGTTCGACCGTAGTGGACTATAACAGTTTGGACTGTGACTAAGAAACTTTTAAATGTGATCACATAAGTATTAATTAAATAAATATGTTGGCACATTAACACACATCACCTTCTAGTTCCATGGTAAGCTACGAGGCTTGTGTTATGGATACCGGATAGTTGATACACTACACATATATAACTTTTAATACAAAGATATTATAAATATAAATACCCATGACTGGGTTCAATTCAATTCCGAGATTTAATTCGTGCTCATCACACTAATGAGTGCCCCCAGCGGGTCTCGAACCCGCGACCGCTGGCACAGCAAGTAGAGTCACTACAAACTGAACCAAACGTGTCATCAAGATCACAATAATGTAATTCGTTTGACCCTCTTAATGAGTTAATTTTAATAGATCATAAGTTAAAATACAGGGTAATATAGTTACAATCAAGCAAAATGGCTCAAGTAAGATTGCATGATCTATATAAAAGGATTTGTGTGTGTTAATTATTGTTTTCCTTTTACAGAGGCTACACCAAGAAAGCGTGGCAGACCAAAGAAGGAAAATAGTTTAGTCGATGGTAAGTCCATTTAAAAATATATAAGTATAAGTTCATTTATAAATATTACTTAAATTACTTATCACGATTTATCATATTGAAACAACAAGAAAACTACAGTTTTGTTTTAATTTTTCTTTGTTTATTCAGTTGTTTGAGTTTTATTTATTTACTGTTTTTGTTTAGATCTCCAATACTCAGACAGTGGAAGCTCAGGTCTTGAAGAAGTGGAACAGAAGGATGCTGCTGAAGCGATGGTGCAATTATCAGTTCGTCCTGGTAGGTCTCTTGTGCCAAAATCACATTTATTTGTTAAATATAATAATATAATAATTATTATTATTATAAACGACACTTTAAGACTCTACACGCTTGAAAAGTCAAGTTACGTAGATTCTAATTTTGAGACTTATTGTAATCATTGAAATCATATCTGAATAAACAAGTTTCAATTCTGCCAACCGCTGCTGCTACTAATCTCTCTCAGATCGATTAAAAGCCTATGCTAACAGTGGAACGTTTAAGAAGCAGAATTTATATAACTGTCACGATTATTATTTTTATTAATACCACTCATTACCATAACACTTACAATATCCAACAGAAGACGACCTACCAAGTGACCAGCCGTTCGACACGTCCGAGTTCCTGATCAAGCGCGAGCTGCCGGACGAGGCGCCGCCCGCGGCCGGCGCGCTGGTGGACCTCGACCAGCACAGCCGCGACTACTCCTACCCGGCTGTCGTTAAGGTATTGCTTCTTGACAGCTAGCCTTTTTTTATGTTGGGAAATGCATTTACGCATACCACCTGTAGACATACAGATGGTTATGTGGGACTCACCGACTAGAAAAGCCAGTACTACTCACTAAAACCCAACAAAACTTCCCCCGTCTTAATGGGGTGTCGCTTACGCACTCAACTACTCGGCCCCGACGGCAGGCCTGCCAAAGCAGACCACAACAACCATGAGGTTGCTCCATAGTCCACTTTGCTATCAGAGAAGTACCAGGAGCAACAAGCAAGGTACGGCGCCCGGCTGAACTTCCGGATGCTAATGAGCACCACCCCCCTCCCCCCCCCTCCCCCACACCTCAAGGTATTGCCTCTTGACTGATATATGTGTCAAATAAAAAACAATGTTTGTATGTATGGAATAACTCATCTTAGAAATCTATGTATCGAACATCTCGATAAAAAAAAGTGCAAGTACTCAGTTGTTGATGATTATAACGATTTGTACATTTGTGACCGATCTTAAGTATTTTTAGGAATGGAATTTTATGATTCCCTCCTTTTTACCAATGCCTTAATGATGGACTCATATGAATTTTTAGAACTAAGAACAGGTAAGAAAAAAGTATTTACTTTTAAAGTCGTTTGAAATTTATGTAAGTTTAAAAAATAGGGATTATTCCATTTGTTATATTACACCTGATGATTCATAGGAGGAGCCAATAGAGCCAGATATGAACATGGAGCCGCCGATGCTGGACAGCGTGCCCGGGGAACTCCCGCAGTTCAAAGAAGAACCGCTTGAAAATTGGCAGGTACGTTTAGAGTTTTTAATTTTCTTTAAAGCTTTTACACGAAATATGAAACAATAAATCCTGAACTAACTACTTTTTAATATTTGCATTCTTTATTTGTCACGTCTTTTAGAATAATGAATTATTTTCGTGTTATTTTAATTAGCCCATAGTAGTATTGATTTCCATTAATATTAGCGTTGGGCCGAATGTGGCCTGAACCGAATACGAACCTTAGTCGAATATTTGGTGAGAATAAAAAATTTGGCCGAACTTCGGTTCCATTTCACCGCACTTTCTCGAGAGTGATACATTGTGACCCTATAACAATTAAAAATACAAAATGTTTGAGATTTTAGTTTGTGGTCCAAAACGTGACTTTTTCTGTTCAACTAACGAATAATAATTAAGATATTTGTTAAAAGAAAACTAAGTTTATTTCATTTTGTCTATTTAATTAGGCAAAGATATTTTAAGAGAAGAAGAGAAGTTCGGTCGAATGCCGAAGTTCGGCTCAAGCTGCTGAAATTCGGTTAAACCGAATGTAAAACGAATTTCGAGCCATCCCTAGTTAATATATAAAAAAATAATGAAGGGAGGTTGGCAATGCCATAAAGGTTTTACCCCCATTGTTAAATATGCGAATCTTTTTGTTTTAGCCGGATCCTGCTATCCAAGACGATTTGCAAGTTACCGATAGTGAGGAAGAAGCAGATGGGCTGTGGTTTTAATAAATGTATTGTAATATTTATATGTAAGAGAATATTTTTTTTTAATATAATATGAGTTAATGTTAAGATTTGTACTAATTTTAGTAAGATGCATAACTGTTGGAAATAAAATTATGATTCGCAATATGAATTGTTTTATTTCGGCATAAAGAGTATGTAATAACTTGTTTGTTGATTATAAAATACACGTAAATGCAATTGTTTTCAAGTGAATGCCTTTAATACTTTCTTTAAATGTATGCGAATATTTGACATTTTAAATAAAACTATCTTTTCGGAATTTTTCGCGGATTTATTTTGATTTTTGGTTCCCGACGTTTCAAATGCTTTTGTTGTTTCTTTATAAAGTATCAATTTATCTACATAGTTTAAATAGAGTGAAATTGAAAAAGAAAATAGCTTATGTTGAATGTGAAATTATTGTAAATACTCTATATTATTTGTTTCTATTAAGAACATTGAAATGACCGACTTTCTTTGTAGAAGTTAGGAAGCTTTAAGAAACATTTTTTATATATTTTACACTAAAGAAAAGACTAGCAAAGTTTATTTAAATTTCTCGAATCTTCTCAAACATTTTATTTGAGAAGCGCGATATAAAAATTATACAAACTGCTGAGTCGAAGTTCCATTACATTCGCTAAGCACATGAAATCCCTCAATAACAAACTTCGATACAAGTTATGCAAAAAACAGAATGAAAAGATTACAAATTGTTAGATTTATACTAATTTTAGTAGGTACTAGATTTTACTTTTCATTTTCAGATATTTAATTAATATCGCATTACCCTAAAATACCAAGAAAATAATCATCGAAACAATTCTTTGTAAATTGAAAATAGCTATAGCTATGTTATAGAGCATTTTAAAAGCCCTTTAAACAAAATATTATTTATCTTATCCAAGATCGAATTCGTGTCTTTACCTGTGTCTGTGTTAGAATCAATTCCACATGTCCCATAATACCACCAAATTCTAAAATTTTGTTTACCGTACTCGTAAGATTATTTAAAACAGAATATTCAATAACTGTGATGCCCAACGCGGGGCTCGAACCCAAGTACTATATCAATGAAAACACTCAGATCTCACAAATGGAATAAAGCAACAAAGTAGCAAAGACGTTCGTTAAGAAATAGTATATTTTTCTTTTTAACATGAAAGATATTAAAACAGCTTGAAAAACATCTCCGTATATCGTACAAGCGTTCTCGTGCAATACTTTACTTTGAGGCGCAGTTTATATAGAATTAAGTGGATGCCCGAGCTAGCTTTGACTTAAAATGTTTATTATTTTAGTAAATTAAATTTGACATTATAATTATATGTACAGTATACAACTGTACATCTACCGATTAAAATATACATACAGTATCTGGTCTACCAAGTTTCGCTCGGAATTATTGGCCTACAGTACAATTTTCTTTTTTTTTTAAAAACTTGAAATTTGAATAAATATAAAAATAACAAAAAAAAAAACAAAAGTAAAAACTTTGAATCCGACCGAGATTCGAACCCGTGATTGTCGAATTTGCGCCTTGGCCGCTTGACCACGATGTATACGTCAGAATGTACGAAATTACCGACCATATTTTGTGTGGAATAATGCGAAAGAAAACCGCATAAAAACTCAAGAACAGGCGTTTTCTCAGATATAAGACTAATCTAGATCGATTTTTCGCCCCCGAAACCCTCTGCGTACTAAATTTTATGAAAATCGTTGGAGCCGTTTCCGAGATTCAGATTATATATTTATATATTTATTTATATTTACAAGAATTGCTCGTTTAAATATATTAGAAGATATAATAAAATTCTGAGTCGAATCTGTACCTACATTAAATATTTTTTGGAAGATCTTATTGAAATGGTCTATCGATACCGAGGCTGTATCTATAGTTTTTAGAATTTTTGTCTGTCTGTATGTCTGGGAATGCCTCACGAGATAACTACTGGACAGATTTTGAAGAAATTTAGTATGATGATAGCTGGTTATCTGGGTCAACTTTTTGGAAAGGGATATTTTTATTGCGGGATCTCTGAGAAATCTAAACTAAACGTTAAAACGTAATAACGTTAATAAAAGTCCATAATATTATTGTTATTATAGTAAGTTTTCAAAATCTTTTATTATATTATAAGCACCAGGGAATGGTTTATGCAACGTTAAAAATATTTATCACATATCAATAAATAAAAAAAATTGAAACATCAAACACTTAACTAGGTTGGAGGGATGGAACTAGAAAAAAAAAATTTGCAGTTTAGTTTTTCTGTATCCACGCGATATATGACTCGTAGGATGCCTAACAGCGTTCAATCACGTCCGTGGCTCCATTTTATAAATCGAAAGTTTTGGTTGTTTTTGAATCAAGAGTAACGTGTTTGATTTTTTGTGAGTCGGTTGCCAACAGGGTGACAGGGGGCTGATTCGGAGCGTGGGGCCTTTGTTGTTATTTGTTATGTTAGATAAATTCTTTTTTATGTGAGATTATGCTTTATTTTATTTTATTTAGGATCTCCAACAAAAGATACTTACACACAAGTTGTATAAACATCATATAAAAACAAAAAGCAAATAAGACTTACAACACGTGTGCTCCTTCACTTATAGGAGACCACAGCTTGCTCATTATTGTATGATAAGTTATAATTAAGCTTAAACTAAGAAAAAATTAAGATAGGTACAATTCGGATATACAGATGATTCCATTTTTGTGATTCCGTAATATTGACTTACTAAGAAACTCTTTGGTTATTTTGCGATATTATTAAAGCCTTTAATTGCTCCAGCCCCACACATCCGGGCTCTTATTACAGGTAATTATGATGTAACTACTAACCTACCTACATATGTACCTATATGTATGTTATATAGTAGGTATATATGTTTGGTTGGTTTTTTTTACGCTATACAGATTTGTAGATATAATATGCATTACACATACTTTATATTTATTTTAGATGACCTAATAATAGAAAATTATATGTTATAAAAGGAGGATGTCGAAAATATCGTACCTAATATGATATTTGCACGTCATTCTTATGAAAAATCTTTTTGACGTGATTTAATATTACGAAACGTACAATAGGTACCTACGAGATATACACAATATTTATACGTATCGAGGTTCGCTCAGGCAGCTGCCAACTTGTCATAAAAGAAATTTGAATTTTTGTTAGCTTTTAAAAATACATTATCCTGTGTATGCCCCTTCAGATAAATTGGAAAATACATAGTGAAACAAAAAAAACGCATCAAACTAAAACTCCTTGGTAATTTGAAAATTTGGTACATAATAATTATAGTATAATTATACTAAGTATAGTTACACTAAGTATAATTATACTAAGTTTAAAAAGTCATAATTAATAGAACATTACAAAAAAGACTTTCGTAAACTCAGTTATGTGTTATACTTTCAAAAAAATATTATTATTACCTACTTCAATTGACCGACTTCAACATCATATAAAAGTATCGAATAACATCGATTGTTATCGACTAAACTGAACAATCGATTAATTTGATTACTTTTAGTAATAATCGCCCATCGCTAATACGCGGGGCGAGTCGCAGTTCGTAGCTAAAACGGGAGTAAGCTTCCAACAACATATTTTCATATAATATTTAATCACTATTGATACAGATAATTTCATTTCGATAATTTAATGCATTATACTAAAACGAACAAAGATTACCGATAACATATTTAAATGGACATTAAATAACAATTTATAGTTGTCTACTCTAAATAATTTCATATAAAGCTTGTTAGTTACACAGTCCAATGGCTATACATAAATAATAAATAAGTGGGAGAGTAATGATGAATCGTTCGCGTTTAAAATCTTTAGGGACTCGTATGCTAATGTGGGCATAATGATCATATAGATTACATTATCAATATTAAATTGTGTTGGTTGCGAGTGTTAATATCGATGCTTTTAATTAATACTAGTGATCAGGTAGTGGCGGAAAATCGACCATAATTCATTAAGTTTCAACGTTAAAGTTCTTTTGTCAAAGTACATGGGTAATCTGTTAATAATTTTCCTCGATAAATTGATTATTTAAAAAAAAAAATATTTTTTTTTTTCAAATTAGATCCGTAGTTTCAGAGATTAGTACATGCAGACAAACAAACTGTCCAGCTTTATGTTTTAGATTGAAATTGATGGGGGTTAAAGGCTATATAACATCACGCTGCAGCTTTTAGAATTGGAGAAAATTATGCATAAATAAACTACGCAAAATTTTAGATTTTATAGCCCTTCTTTATATAAACTTTTACTATACCAAAGCTACGTGTAATATTCCTAAAAGGAGTACAAATTACTTTCTTCATATATGAATATTTAAAAGATTATTAAAATAACAAACACCATTGTACAAGAAATGGAATTTTTCTTTTAAGTCGATTATATAGTAACATTATTTTTCAAGTAAAATGGATGTTTGCATTCAGATGGACAGACAGGATTCAAATTTTAACTTGAAGTGAACCTTTGATCTTAAACTGCCCATGTCTATCAAAGTGCACTAGCGCCATTTCTAATTGATTATTTTTTAGCTGCTATTTATCTATTATAATTAAAAACGAAGTTTAGAATAATTTACACTACATTAATACACTGAATTAAATCTAGAACTATAACAATTTTATAAATAGCACTAAACAAAAACGTTCATCCTATAGGTAGCTAGGTATATAGGTATACCTACATATACATTAATGTCCGTTTTGTTTGGTGTGTATTACACTAGCTGAAAATTATAGGCTATAAAATGGTTAATTTAATCTGAAATCTAATCTGGAATCTCTCTTAATAAAATGTTCAAGAACTTTATTATTATAAGGAAATAATTAATTTTTAATAAAAATTCGTGTAAGCAATATTGAGGTTTCATTACTCGATTAATAAACCCCTGTATATATACCTGCTCTGTATAAATATTTATATTTTGCCTTGTTTTTGTTTAGGTAAGGT